ATCCAAGTTTAGATGAAGACATAGAGCTTCATCAAGGCCATAGTCAACCCTAATGATCTTTGACTAACGTGCCTGTCTTTGCCTTGGCACGCAATATCCAACGTGTGGGAGCTTCTATTGAATCTGGTTGCGCATGCCCATGACGTCAAATCTCTATCCAAGTATAAAAATCCATGTTCGTGACGTGTATGGTGGTTCCAGTTGAACCAAAATCTTATAAATTGTTCATGAGTGTTTTAAGCAGTTCAAAAAACTCGTAGATCGTGTTTTATCAGGTATAAAAGCACTCGGCTACGCCTCGTGCTTTTATACCTGATAAAACACTCCTACTCGTTTTTTAAACACTACTTAAATTTTGTGCGAAAATCAACAGGTAGCAGTTAACCTCATGGTCTTTCTTTTCAAACTTCTATGTATTATTTACTTTGTTAGACTCGAAATTGAAATAAAGTATCATTGGTATTATTATAGCATCCAAAACACCAATTCTAGTTTGATCAAGTTATTCTTTATTATATCTTATTTTTAGTTCTAGTTCTCCCTTGCACACTTTATTTTGTTCCAGTTAATTAGTATTAGGGTACGTAGTGGGAGTCAAATGACGCCATCATACAAACGTCCTATATCAAAGGCAGCACCTTATCCCGAGTTATTTTAAGACCCTGGGTGTTGGTCCTGCCAAGGCTCGAACCACGACCGACGCTCTTACCAGCTGAGCTAATCGGGTGGCGGTCGTAGTACATCATTGGACTTGCATACAAGGGGCTAGATTTTGTTTCATGGAGTCATTCTGCTGAAGTATTCTAACAGTTACATCATTTATTATCTTTACGTAACCCAGAGAAAGGATTCCTTTAAGACAAGTCTTTACCAGCTTAGAAAGGAGTGAAGGATAACTGGATTCAGTTGCTCCGTCTTTTTCTAAGTCACGTGACCCCGAACACTTTCTCCAAGTCAGTTACGTCACGTGATTTCATAAAACACGTGGCTAGCAGAATCGTTGCCTACCAACATGGCTGACGCATGCGAACCGTGGATGAGGTAAGCTTATTATCGAGAAAATATTGTTACAGGTGTATTACTTATTAGCTTATTTACTAGATGGTGACTCGAGTGCAATACAAATAAAATCACTCTTTATTTATTCGTACATTCGCAAACCAAACATTCCTTGTAAAAGCGACAAATAAGATTTAATTCCATGAAAACAATCTAGTAAATAAGCTCACCTTCATGAATTAACGATATTTTCTCAAAGGAGAGGTGGGGATGAGAGGTGGGGAAGAGAGGTGGGGAAGAGAGGTGGGGATAAGAGGTGGGGAGGAGAGGTGGGCATGAGAGGTGGGGACGAGAGGTGGGGACGAGAGGTGGGTATGAGAGGTGGGGACGAGAGGTGGGGACGAGGGGTGGGGACGAGAGGTGGGCATGAGAGGTGGGGACGAGAGGTGGGCATGAGAGGTGGGGATGAGAAGTAGGCATGAGAGGTGGGGATAAGAGGTGGGGAGGAGAGGTGTGCATGAGAGGTGGGGACGAGAGGTGGGGACGAGAGGTAGGGATCAGAGGTGGGGACGAGAGGTGGGCATGAGAGGTGGTCATGAGAGGTGGGGACGAGAGGTGGGGATGAGAGGTGGGGATGAGAAGTGTAGAGGGATTCAAAAATGACTAATAATATTTGATACAGTACAGATGTATTTTAATTCATCCACAATGAACTACAATATCACATTGGAAATATTCATAAAACATTTGCCAAGTTAAACCACGCTTAGAGGTTTAAAAATAAAACTTAATTCCAAAATAAAATATCTTACAATGTTTGCCCTAAAATACATATTAAATCTAAATAACCTGAATCTCCTTTTGTAGATACCTTTTGAAAATTTCTCGAAGTGACTGAAAATGTTTTCATTTAAATTTCCCGAGAACGGGTTGCCTGTGATGATGATAGAAAACACAGGATTGACAAATGAAAAATGATAGATGTTTTGAGGCGGTCGTAAATGGTCGATAACGAATAGAGATCAAACCGAACAAAGCATTTTACATCACACAAAGGCGAATAACAGATGTGGCCGGTAACGTATCAACAAAAGAGATTCTATTGCATGCCATTCCTGACGGGTACAACACAGCATCTACTAATTTTAAATACTAATCTCAAATGATCAACTAGTGTTTTAGTTAAAGGAACAAATAGCCTGGAAAAGCAGTTATCTCGACATTCGCTCGGTAGTTTTTAGACATTTAGCTTATTTATGAATTGAATAGGTTGTAATACAGTAATTTGAAATTATTCCTAATCTTAGGGGAACATCTCGAGGCATACACCATGCACAGTATGGAGTTAGGAGAGATCTTTAAACCCAAGGATAAATGGATTAAGTTGAACCTTGTATATATACAATCAAGTGTGAGAGTGATGCAACAAACTTTCCTGACGCTGGAGGGCAGAATACAATATTTAAGAGAATGGCAAATGTTATCAAAGGGAAATGTACAATTTGCTTCAAGAAGTTTGAATGTACTTTCTTCTCTGGTCTGCATTCGATCAGTTAACCTTCGTCGATGGTGTGCCTCTATTTGAAAAGTTTCCTTTTTTTTAACTTTTATCCCCAGACAATTATTTCTTTATTCATCTTAGTTATCAAATTTGAGTTCTTCGAACATGGTTTCCTCGAACATGGTAGCATTGACGTCACATGCCCTCAAGAATTATTGACTTTTTAACAAAATCACTAAATGAAGAAAGTGTACGCTGCTATATAAGGTATTTGAACAGTGGTCGCCTAGAGTAGAGAGTCGTTGGTCGGTCTACTAGGTGATCGTATACAAGAGGTTCAACTACAATCGCAATACTTAAAACGGAAAGTTAGGGAAAGTTACTTTATATCAACGTATTGTACGTTCGTTTTAGCGTAAGATAGAATTTACTAAGTCTATTATTCTCCTTCCTCATCATCATCCTCATCCTCTTCATCGTCATCATCATCCTCCTCATCTTCATCTTCCTCTTCTTCCACTGCATCGTCTTCATCCTCTTCATCATCTTTACCATCATTTCTGGCGAGACGAGCTGCAGGAATGATAACCAATGTTAGTAAAAAAAACAAGAGATTTTATTAAATTTATCATATTTCCTTAAGTTCATTTAATCCAAATCTTTTTAGCCAACCATCTGCTAGCGTCTCTACGCGCTGATTCTATTTTATCCATTCACCGAGTGTTTGTTTTTATCATCCAACTATCCATCCGTCAATTTATTTATTCATCCGCTATCTACCCATCTACTCACCCACCCATCCAATCGTCGACATCCATTCACCCTTCCATTCAATCCTCCATCAATCTATCCATTCAATTATTCATCCCGCTAACTACTCACCTACCCACTCTTTCATCTATCCATTTCAAAGCTAGAAATCTTTGAGGGGGGGCACTGCAAAAATCTTTGGGGNGGGGGGGGGGGGGGGGGCACTGAAGATTATATTTAACGCTATGTGATAATGACAATGTTTCGTTTGATTGCAGACGCATGTGTCGTAAAACAATGACTAAGAACCAATAATTTTTGGGGGGGCACGTTCCCCCCCCGGCCCCCCGGTTCCGCTGCCCCTGCACCCATCCATTTCATCCACCCACCCACCTATCCATCCATCCATCCATTTCACTCACCTAGTTATTTCACCCATCCATTCATCCATATCACCCATCCATCCATCCATCCATCCACCCACCCACACATCCACCAACCCATCCATTCACCCATCCATCCATCAACAAACCCACCCACCCACACATCCACCAACCCATCCATTCAGTCATTCACCCCTATCCATCCAAGTATTGTTTTTCTCTTTACCTGCATCATTGTTTCTAACCATCAGTTCAGCAGCCCGTATCCTTGGGTACTGGGTTTCAAAACTAAGGCTAAACTTAAGCAGTGACGTGTTATCCTCCAGTGAGCGGACAATCTTTTGTTCAAACTTTGCACCTAATGTCCCACACTAAACAACAAATTAGAAAAAAATCAGCATTTAGGTTGTTGTTKTTTTTTTTTTGCTTTGTGTTTGTTTTGTTTGTTTCTTTTGCTTTGCTTTGTTTTTGCGACTTCTTTGACATTTGAGCTTTTGGGTCGCAGAAACAGGAGTATAGCTATGATAATCAAGATAATGCACATTTAAAGTGCCTATACCACGGTCTAACTTAATATTTTCAGTATTGATTCTACATAAAGTGAATCTTTGAATGGTAAAAGAATTTCATATAATTTGAGTGATGCATCTTGGAGATATCAAGGTTTATATTTTCATTATGTTAATGAGTGTGATGTCATTATAGGCATAATTAAATATACAAACTTTTTCTAGGGAAGCAAAATATCCTGTATATAACATCATTGTCTTACTCAGGGTTTATAGAGAATAAATAGAAAATTTGATTTCTCATAGTAATCAGTGCTGCAATTTAAAATCAATGAGAAGCAAACTCAAATTCCTATAATGACATCACAATCATTAACATATTTGGAAATATAAACCTTGATGTCTTCAAGATGCATCACTCAAATCATATGAAATTTTTTTACCATTCAACTATTCACTTTATGTAGCATCAATACTAAAAACATTAAGTTAGGTGGTATAGGCACTTTAAGTAAAAACATCAATCCATTAAACTAGCAGTCTATACAAATGTTGCAGTCTCCTTGGCTAAGTTATTATAGGTATATAAGTGTACGTTACACTTCATAATAAACAACATTGTTGCTATGATAATCAGATTGCAAAACAGTGCACACAAATGAATAGAGGAGTGACTAATATGATATCAAAAACTACACGCATGCAGATGAGCCAATAAACCCCTTGAACGTAGCAACAGTAACTAGGAAGGCACAAATGTGGGATTGGTGTATTCTAAAGGGATTTAAATTATTTTCTGATTTCCACATTGAGGTTCTATGACGTCTCAAGCAAGGGGTCTATTCTTTGAATGATTTCATGAAATAGTTATTTGCCAAGTGAACATATTTTGTGAGATCATCATGACTGTCCACCAAAGCCATAGTTGTTGGCATGTGACAATGCTTTTGTTACTCCAACTTTAGTTCCGCATGTATCTCATTGTGAAATAAAATCGTAATTAAAAATAAATAAAAAGATTTTAAATTTTAAGAAGCTTAAAACTTTTAATCAAAAAGTATTATTATTTGGTATAAAGTTTTGGTTTCTCCCCAAAATCGCCGTTGAATGACTCACGAACTGATTTTGATTTAAAACTTGAAAGTCAGAGTGAACTATTATAGCAAGATGGTGACTGCAGACCTAGCACATCTATATAACAAGCCTACCTGGTTATCAAGTCGTAACTCTCTTAATGTAGTGTTGCCTTTGATAGCATTAACCATGTCCTGATGAAAAGATGGAAAACGAAAAAATAAAATATCACCTCAAGCCATGATTACAGGAAAAATACACAGTACCCCCGGGGGAAATTACACGGCCGAAGCCAGTCATAAATGCCACAGGAAGCCCGTTACCTAAAAAAACGAACTGAGAGTCTGGGAAGCCTGTGCAGATATCAACTCACTCGTCCAAATATTCAACATAAATAACAAAAGATGATGGAAGGAAGGAAGAAGAGATAGAAGGAAGGAAGAAAGGTTTGAAAGAAAGAATAATATAATAAAAAAAAAGATTGACGGACGGCAGACAGAAGGAAGGAGGGAAGCAAGCAAGGAAGCAAGCAAACAAGCACGTAAGGAAGGAAGCAAGGAAGGAAGGAAAGAAGGAAGCAAGCAAGCAA